ATTGTCTGTTGTTATGTCCCCCTTTTCATTTCTGATTTTGTTAATTTGGATGTGCTCTCTCTCTGTCTTTTGGTTAGTTTGGATAAGGGCTTGTCTATCTTGTTGATTTTCTCAAAGAACCAACTCTTTGTTTCATTAATTTTTTGTATTGTAATCTTTGTTTCTATTTTATTGATTTCAGCTCTCAATTTCATAATTTCCTGGCATCTATTCTTCCTGGGAGACTTTGCTTCTTCTTGTTCTAGAGCTTTCAGGTGTGCTGTTAAGTCACTAGTGTTAGATTTCTCCAACTTCTTTATGTGGGCATTTAGTGCTATGAATTTCCCTCTTAGCACTGCTTTCATAGTAAATGAAACACTTTTAAAGGGCATTAGAACACTTGGGGGTTTTACAAAACTTGTGGGTTCTTTAAATTTTGGTATTTTATTACATGATTGTATTTGTCAAAACTTACAAAGCTATAAACTAAGAACAGATTGATTTTACTGTATTTAGCTTGTGCCTTATTTAAAAATAAAAGGAAACAATAACTTTAATGAATAATTATGATGCTTTATGCTTGACTTCTGTAATGAATTCTCATTCCATGTAATCATTTTTGTGGTTTTATACTTTTAAAAATATAAATGTGGAACTAAAGGGATTGCTCAGAGTAAGATGACTTTCTGGTTTTCTGAAGGACCTGAGTTCTGTTTCCAGTCACCATCAAGGGCAGCTCACAAGCCACCTGTAACTCCAGCTTCAAGGACTTTGAAGGTAGCTGCATTCACATGAACATATCCCCAAATAGACATAGATTTATACACATAATTAAAAACAATAAGTCTTTAAAATTAAAAATATCCCCCCATCAAGACATCTCTTTCTTTACTCTCAACCTCTGTCCCATCCCCAACCCACCTCCTGCACTCAATGCTCCCAACCTACTCCCTCAAGTTTCCATCTCTCCAACACCCATTCCCCACTCCCAATTTACCCAGCAGATCTCTTCTTTTTCCCCTTCTCAGGGAAATTTATTCATCCCTCTTTGGGCCTTCCTTGTTATCTAGCCTCAATAGGGCTGTAGATTGTAGATTGGATATCCTATACTTTACTCCTAATATCTACTTATGAGTGAATACATACCATGTTTCTCTTTCTGGACCTGGGTTACCTCACTCAGAATGTTCTTTGTCTAGTTCCATCCATTTGGCCTGCAAATTTTATTTTCCTTATCCATTCTTCAGTTATATAACCATTATATTGATATATAACCATTATATAACCAGTTATATAACCATTATATTGATTTGCAAAATGACTGTACAAGTTTGCATTCCCACCAGTAGTGAAGGAGTGTTCCCCTTACTTCACATCCTCTCCAACATAGGCTGTCATCAGTGTTGTTGATCTTAGCCATTCTGACCAAAGTAAAATGATATTTCAAAGTCATTTTGGTTTGCATTTCCTGATGATTAAGGGTGTTGAGCAATTTCTTAAATGCCTTTCAGCCATTTGAGAGTCTTCTTTTCAGAACTCTGTTTAGACATGTAACCCATTTTTTAATTGGATTATTTGGTATTTTTACATCTTGATCAGGGGGCATTTCAGGGTTAGGAAGGAACCTGGTGCCAGTATAACCCCCATGAATCCACAAAGATGACTCCAGCTAAGACTCCTAGCAATAGTGTAGAGGGTGCCTGAACTTGCCATTTAGTGTAATCTGATTGGTAACTACCCTAATTGTCATCAGAGATACTCAATCCAGTAATTTATGGAAGCAGATTCAGAGATCCCCAGCCAAGCACTGGGCTGAGCTCCAGGAGTCTTGCTGAAGAAAGGGAGGAGGGATTGAATGAGCCACGGGGTCATGACGGGAAAACCACAGAGATAGCTGACCTGAGCTCTTGGGAGATCATGGATTCTGGACCAACAGTTAGGGGTCCTCCATGGGACCAATCTAGACACTCTGCATGTGTGTGACAGTTGTGTAGCTTGGTATGTTTGTAAGGCTCCTAGCAGTGAGATCAGGACCTGTCCCTGGTACTTGGCTAGCTTTTGGTAACCTGTTCCTCATTCTGAATTACCTTGCCCAGCCTTCACATAAGGGGAGGAGCTTGGTCCTGCCTCCACTTAATGTGCCATGCTTTGTTCAAGCCTATGGGCAGCCTGCTCCTCTCTGAAGGGAGACAGGGGAGAAGTGGAAGGGGAGGTGGGGAAATGGGAAGCATGAGGGGGCAGGGAGGAGAGGAGTGATAGGAAACTGTGGTCAGTATGTAAAATAAATGAAAAAAAGTTATTTAAATAAAATAAAAGAATTAAAAACATAAATATTTTTTGGATTTCAGGAGTTAAACTTGACAATTTTAAATCTGTTTTTGAGCTCAGCAAAGTTCCTTGTATATCATATATTCCTTAGGCATCAATTTTCTTCTAACTAAAATTATTTCATTGGAAGATTTTGGAAGGAATTTTATTTCCTTTTCATTCACTAATGACAGTTCAGCTGTGCCCAGAGAGACTAGGTGTGCAGTTTAATTTCCTCGTCATTTATTTTAAACCACAATAGACCATTGTCGTCTAAGTATATTTACATAATAAACAGTCTAGTTTTAATCTCTGGGAACAGTTGAATGGTTTTAATTAATATTGATCCTTTACAACTCTAGTATTATGTAGATTACTGTTTATTTTCCCAACTAATACCTGGAGAATCAAGCTCTCTTTTTTTAACCACCACCAATGACAGCAAAACATAACAGACATAGAAGCTGTCCTAAGTTGCCAGATGCCAATGAAGACTCCCACTTCTACAGATGCCCTAGGAATAACCATAGGGAGTTATAAACTATCCAAAGAAGACCATAATAAGGGAAGTGGCATTCCACAAAAGCTGAGAAACTTGCCTACTCTTTCAGCAGGACAGCTGGCCACAAGGGAATCCATACAGATCTATTCAATTAGAAATGGAAACCTTGATTGTCAGTATTTCCTTTAGGGTTAGAAATAAACCTAAAAAGGATAGTTATTATGTTCCTATAATCTCAACACTTGGAAGGTTAAGAAAGTTAAATCCTGTATTCAAGGAGGGAGAAGGGCCTCAGAGCTAATTTTGTGACAGAAAAACTTCTGAAAGAAAAGCCAAGGAATGCCCTCAAGAGAATTCATTAACTTCTCTTTCACTAGACCATGATTTCAAGGAGAGAGCATTTCTTCTGGGAGATAAGCCCCTCTGAGAATATTCACAGGAGAAAGAAAAGAAAAGGTCATGCGTTCAAAAGACAAAGCAGCGTCTTCCTGACAAGCCACTAGTTTACTCTGGCCCCAGGTGCATTTAGGTGAGCCTCAACTGAAACTTTTGGACATCTCTTCAGATTTCTACTTTCTTCATGCAGCTTGGATCTGTGTTCACAGGCAGCATCATGAATAAAGAAGCCTGAGCATCTGAACCCAGACAGCCTAAAACTTCACAGGAAGTTAGAGACACCACTAAAATCAACCTGTTATGAGGAAGTGGTTTCTTTAAATTCTAAGGAAAAAATCTTCTTGCTGCTTATGATGTCACAAAAAGCTACCTGGTTGTACCTACTGCCACATCTAGAGCATATCTGTAGATGAGATGAAAAACTGTAACAGCCCTGTCACCCAATATTGGATGGACTTGGACATACTTTACTAACAGCAACACAAATGAATTAAGTACTGCTGAAGAAAAGTGCATCCTGTCTCTTCAAGCTGCATCCAAGTGTAGCTGGGGTTGTCAAGCACCTGGGCTTCTCACCAGCTGAGGTAAAGATTTTTTTCTCTTTTATTAAAATGTGTAGCCTTTAGGCAAGGCAAATCAAAAAACAGAGTCAAAGAACCTGAGCTAGTTTGTCAGATTCCCTAGATCTTTGAGCTCTATTGCCCTTCCATGCCTTTTTAAGTGTTAAGGTACTAATTGCCCTAAGAAACCAATGGAGACTAATAAAATATAAATGTATGTATGCCAAGACATGGCTGAATGATCTGTGAAGGATGCTTCACTTTCGCGTCTTTAACTTCATGCTCTGAGTTGGCTATATTAGTGCTGTTCCATGGAGATCACAGGCTCCTGTTGATTTAGACAACTGACTCTGTTGGCTTCACTGTAAGACTGGGTACCATGCACTACTAGGGTGTTTCCAAACAAAGATAGAGCCCTCTTCATCTCTGTCTCTACCTGGTAAAATTACTATGGAATTCCAGGAGAGAAATTGGAACATCAGGGTCAAAGGCTATATTGGGACAGGATTATTGGATTAGAGCACAATATAAAATAGTATTCTTTCGTTGCTTTTAATAATTTCTTACAAGAAAAAAAGTAAGTTTTCTGTTTTAGGATCTTATATGTTATATTTTTTGTGTCTTTATAGCTACACAATAATTTGATTAAAAAAAGATGTTCAAGTAATTTCCAAAGTTTTAACTCTAATGGAAACATGTTCTTAAACACAATACTGCATTATTTTAGAGTTGGCACTCATTTCAGAGAATCATGGGAATGTGGGGACTGAGCAAGAGAGATAACTAATATGGGAAAAAAATGTAATTTCCAATGTCATTACCCACAAACAATATGGACTAAGGAAATGTAGAAACTGAGCTTTAAAAACATGTATATATGAGCAACACTAAATAGACTGAGTATATATCATGCTCTAACATGGACACGAATACATACACAGACCAACACCTATGTAACAAGTTAAAGAATAAGAGGACATGAGTTTGAGAGGGAGTGGGGGGCATGGGAGGAGTTTGAAGGGGAGATGTAGTAGAAGTAAATACAAGACATATATGGAATTCTCAAAAGATATAAATTAAAATAAAATGAGAAATTTGAAAATCAAGAAACAAAGCTGTTCACTAGTATAAAAGATATTATATTATGAAATCATATTTGCCATCCTGAGGGGCTTCTTATGTGACAAAATTAGGGCTTATATTAGCAAAAGTTCACTGAGCCATCTGTTTCTAAGCAGCTAAGGAAACCGCACAAAATGGAAGTCTGGAACTCCACATTGGGAAGTGGCTTCATCTTGGTGGGTATTCTGGATGGTAGTAGCTTTCCTGAACTTCTCTGTGCTGCAATCACAGTCCTGTACTTTTTGGCCCTGACCAGCAATGGACTGCTGCTCCTAGTCATCACCATGGATGTCCGTCTTCATGTGCCCATGTATCTCCTACTTGGACAACTGTCTCTCATGGACCTTCTCCTCACATCAGTTATCACTCCCAAGGCTGTTGTTGATTTTCTACTCAAAGACAATACCATCTCCTTTGGTGGATGTGCCCTTCAGATGTTCCTAGAACTGGTACTGGGCAGTGCAGAGGACCTCCTTCTGGCCTTCATGGCCTATGACAGGTATGTGGCCATTTGTCAACCTCTGAACTACACAATCTTAATGAGTCATAAAGTCTGCTGGCTCATGATAGCCACATCATGGATCCTGGCATCCCTCAGTGCACTAGGATATAGCACCTACACCATGCAGTATTCCTTTTGCAAATCTCGGCAGATCAACCACCTGTTCTGTGAGATCCCTCCCCTGCTAAAGCTGGCTTGTGCAGATACCTCCAGATATGAACTCATGGTTTATGTGATGGGTGTAGCAGTGCTAATTCTTCCTCTTGCTGCCATCCTGGCCTCCTACTCACTAATTCTGTTCACTGTGCTCAATATGCCCTCAAATGAGGGCAGGAAAAAAGCCCTTGTCACCTGCTCTTCCCACCTGACTGTGGTTGGGATGTGGTATGGGGGTGCCTCCTTCATGTATGTCCTGCCCAGTCCCTTCCACAGCCCCAAACAAGATAATATCAGCTCAGTTTTCTACACAATTGTCACTCCAGCTCTGAATCCCCTCATCTACAGTCTGAGGAATAAGGAGGTCACTGGGGCTTTGAAGAGAGTCCTGGGAAAACGACTGTCAACACAAGCCAACCTCTAGGTAGTTCTAAATAGTAACCTTCTAAACAATTTTTCCACAAAGTCAGAATTCTGGTGTGAATTGAATATCCATGGTAAATCCTAGAGTAAACGGTATGTCTCTTGATAGAGAAGTATGGGAGGGGAAGAAAGTATGGAATCCTTTGGAAATGCTCTATGGATCTTCTTTTCAGGAGATATTAGAGAACCTGGTGCTTTGTCAAATATGGACACAAAGATAAGGTTTTTATCAAGGTGAGCCATTTAGATGCTCTAAACTAATTTTACATTGGAAAATTGGAATTGACTTTTAAAGACACTGAATAGCAATTATAATAAGTATCAGAATATGTTTTCAAGTGTGATTCAAACATCAATGGGAGAATATTTTTGAATTTTATACAATTTTGTAGTAAAAAAAAAAATCAGAGTTTGTTGAATGTTCAAATAGCATCAGCCTTCTGGATGATTTGACAGATGCCATCTATGGCTTATAGTATGTGTGTATGTGTGTGTTATATACTTTTTCATTTCTTAATTTATTTTCAGTGATAAGAACTGAACTCAACATTTACACTTCTATCTTATGAGTAAAACAGTCTCACAAGATGAATAAACCAGTGTTTTTCCAGTTTTTCCTAAGATACCTTTAATTATCTCAAAAACTGTCCATGGTCCAGAGTCTTGGTGTGTGTTTGTGATTTAAACCTACACAATGTTTACATGTGTAAAAGCATCACCTGTTTACTATAAATAAGCATGATTTGTGATATTTTGTATCAGTTAAATCCATAATTAGGGTTACCATCTTTCAGAAATAAATGACAACAAACACTGCCATGGATGTAGGGTGAGGGACACTTACACAGTGAGATGGAAATTGTTAATGAATGTAGCCTTTATGGAAATCAATCTAGGTATTTCTCCAAAAGCTAGAAATAGAACTAACATGTGACCCAGTTGTGACACCTGTAGGGAAATAACTAATGGACTCTATATCTTACCATAAAAACTCTTGAAACTTTGTACTCATTGCTATTTTATTAACAATAATTAGAAAATGGAATCACTGTAGATATCCATTAATGGATTAATAAATAATGGAAGTTTGGTAAATATTTACCACAGAATTGTCTTCAACCATGAAGAAAAATTAAATAATTTCATTTAAATGGATGGAATGGTAAAAAGAAATTAAAGCAAGTGACACAGGAGATATTAGACACAGGAAGACAAAGACTATATGTTCTCTCTTATATGTGAATCCTAGCTGTAAATCCTTAGCTCATGTGTTTAAGCTAGAGTATTTGTAGATCTAGGAAACTAGAAAGGGGACAGATGGAGACATACATTAAAGATGGAGGTTGGCAAAACACAGTGATATGAAAGTAGAGAGGTAGAATATTGGAGGGAGGAAGGTTTAAGCAGAGAGGGTGGGAAAATGGGGGCAGGCAGGGTAGATGAAAGGTATATGAAAAAAGCCACATAGAAACCTAATATCTTGTAATTCAATTAAAAACATAATTTATAAAACATTTTGAATGAAAAAATTAGTTGAAATTGGAAGAACGACAGGAAAAAACTGTAACTTATTTTCTTGCTAATTTAATATTCTCTTCTATGGCAGATCGTGCTGCATTTATGAAAACTGGATAATCGATTCATGTTCATTTTTAACTCAAAGGTAGTCTCATAGCTACTTTATAACACTAAATGAAGTTATTTTTGAGTTACTATCATAAAAATTGAAAATATGTCAATGTTTACCAGATGCTGGGGAAAGCTGATGGTGAGCAACAGGAACAGGGAAGTACTAATCATTGATAGGTACAGAGTTATAGTTAGGTAGGAACAATGTGATATTCCGCTGTAAACCGATGATACATAAGAACAATGCAAAGTATTTTTTAAAACACAAAAGACAGGATTTTGAAAGTTTTCAACATAAATCCCTAATACATAATTGAGAGGATAGGTATTTAATCTTATTTTAATCAAATGGATACCTATATGAAACATAACAGAACAACATTAACTCATATAATATTATGCATTTTATGTAGTAGATAAAATAAATAAAATTTTCTTTCTAAAATCAGTAGAAGTCAATGTACTAGAAATAATCAAGTTCCTGTAAAATCTCAGTGATAACTCTGTACATTTAGTGGTTATTCTTTCATTTTTGTAACTGGCACTCATTTTATTGAGTTAATGTGTTCATTGTAGAAGCTTACTTCACTTGTTGACATACAGTGATATGTTTCTCCTTATTGTATATATGGTGGCCTTACAGGGCAATGGTGGAAAGACTCAGGTATGATGACAGAACGTGAGGGTTGGAATTCAGTGCATCTCATCATCTTCTTTAACTTTGGTTGTGAATGTAGCCCTTCTGAACCTGGATCTGAAAGCTATAAATTCCCAGTAAATAAACACCTACTTCAAAGCACTGTTATGAGGACTAAGACAATACACATAAACAATTTCAGTGAGACTACTGGAATATAATGATTCATCATCAATTTTAACAGTTCTAAGACAAAATTGCCCTGGAAATCATAGGTTCCAATCCATATCATGATTGAGATATCACTCAAATATTTTGTAACTGATTATATTATTGCTACTAAATATGTAATGATGTTTTATGTATGTTTGTTTATGTGTTCATATTAATAAAATGTGTCAATAACTTAATTATGTTACTAATATTTGCCTTGGGAAATTTCTCATGCACAGAGCTATATAAATTAATGTTAAAATCAACTGCATATTCTTTTTTTCACTCACTTTATCATCCTCATAGCCTTTGTGACTATCTGAAATAAGATCATTATTTATTTTATATTGGGTAAACTCCAGGACAGTAGGACTCTTGTTTGTTTTACTTACCACTATACTCCTGGTGTCTATCTTATATCAGATACATATAAACATTTATCGATGGAAAAATACACAAGTGCTTCCCCATCAATAGAATGTGCACAGTCAAGAGTCTTTGAATAGGTAGTCTTTCAAATGTAGTCACATAATTAGCTGTAGGAACATTATTTGCCTTTCTTAGTTTGAGTTCTGAGACTGGAAGGATGTTTTCTCCATGTCAATTCCAGCTAAAGATGAACAAGCACCAAAATGATGCCCAGTAAGATCAATAAAAGGTAGCACCAGGCACCAAGTGCTTTTAGAACTTCTTGGGGTTGAAATGTAAGTATAAAGTCCATATTAATTTGTCTCTACTTCATTATCTCTGTAAAGGCAACTGTAAAGATTTAATTCCTGAGCCTAGACTCCTGAGAGAACTCCAACAACACACCTGCCCCGTGCCCTTTGGCTGGGGCAGTGAAACTACAGGGATTGTGGCCAGGGTTTTTTAGCTCAGGCTCATGAGAAGACTCCAGCAACACCTCCACACTAATCAGGAGCCTGCCACTGGGTGGTTGGGGATTATTGTGATCTATTTGTGATGTGGAAGCATGGTCCTGCCTAGTGCCATGACAGGACAAGGAGACCCACATGCAGGCCTGAGGCAGTCTGTCCTAGACTCCAAGGAGAAAGCACTGGCCCAACTATTTGTTACTTGCAGTGTCAAGCAAATAGGCACTACTATGGTGAGCAAATATATGGTATGGTATGGGATATATATAGAGAGACAGAATGTCTCATGTCTTATGGACAGAGGCATATCTGAAGAGGCAAAAGAGATGAGGAATGGCCCAAGATGGGTAACTTCATTACCACCCAGAGACATGGTGATGTCTGGGCCTGGGCTTCTGCTTGCACCCATGTCTGGGTTCATGGTTCTGATGCAGCTTCAGTCTTTGCTGATGTCCATGACTCCTGTTACCAACAAAGGCAGAGAGGATAGGGCTGTAAAGAGTTGACCCCACCCCACCCCACCCCCCGACTGCGAGAGAGGATCCTGCTCTTCACCTAGACAGTACAATAGAGTTGACCCTGTTCATGGGGTGGAGATGGGGGGGTGAACTGGCCCTGAGGGCCTGAAAATTGGAGAGTAGGTCACTCCCCTCTCATATGCCATGTGGTGGCAAGGTCACTCTCCTCTCATATGCCATGTGGCAGCAAGGGGTGAGGGGGACCTGATCCAACCCCTGACCAGCTGCAGCACTCAAGAGAATGAACCCTGTACCTCACCAGGGCAGCTAAGTTGAGTTGACGCTGTAGACAGGGCATGTGTGAGCCAGCTCTGAGGGTGTGAGAGAGACATAGCTGGTACCACCTCCCTCATCTGCAGTGTGGTGGTGGGAGTGAGGGAAAGATGTCCTCCCCCTCGCCCCTACCACCTCCAGCTGATGAGGGAACTAACATCTTTACCAGCTGCAACACTTGGAAAAGCAGGCCATGCACCTCATCTGGGCAACACAGTGGAGCTGATCCTGTTGACAAGGGCACAGGTGAGCCAACCCCAAGAATGTGAACATGGGAGACCTAGCCCCACCCCTCATCTACCTTATAGTGACATGAGACAGAGAGAGATGTTTTCCTCCCTCATCAACACCTAAAGTAGGTGGGAGAGCTGGTCCTGAGGTCAAAAGAGTGTGAGAGCTGCCACTGCCCCCCACCAGACGCAACACTTGGGAAAGCAGGCCCAGCACCTCACTTGGGGAACACAATAGAGCCAACTGTATTGGCAGAGGTATGGACAAACAATCCCTGAAATTGTGAGTGTAAGAAAACTGTACCCACTACTTATATGTCATGCAGCAGTATGGATGAGGGAGAAATGCCCCCCTTATCCCTTTCCCTTTACTGCATGTAACAGATGAGGGAGCTGACCCTCCCCCTTACCAACTGCAACACTCAGGAAAGTGGACCCTGCTCCTCATCTAGGCAACACAGTAGAGCTGGCCATGTTGGCAAAGGTGCAAGTGAGATAGCCCTAAGGGAGTGAGAGTGGGATAGCTGGCCACCCCCACCTTGTTCTGCCATGTGGTGGTGAGTGTAAGGGAAAGATGCCCTCCCCCACTTGACCCTGCTACCTATTATGGACAAAGCATCATGGCA